GGGCGCCCGCGGCAGCACCGGGGGGGGCCTGGACACCCCGGCGGCGGGGCTGGGGGCGTAATTAAAAAAGCCCTGACGATACAGGATCGCGGTTTTTTTTCCCCGTGGGGCACGCTGGCGGGGACACGGACAGACTCTCTGCCTTCCCATCGCGCTGCTCTGTTTATGCTCGTTTAGGTCACAGCCATATTTATTTTGTTGGTTTTTTTTAATGTAAAAATGGTTTTGGTTTAACCCCGGTTTTCTCTCCCCCAGGTGACTCAGCTGTGGGGTGGGATCCCCCCGCCTTCATTATTTACTTTTAGTTTCTTCACCCGAGGCAGCTGCGTTGCGGTGTGCCCAATTAAGCACAGGGCAAGGCAGCACCGCTTGGGCGATGACTACCAAGCCCAAAACCAGAGGCAGCCCTGGAGTCCTGCCTAGAAACAAACCAACCCCTGTCCTGTAAAGGCTCTTCGCAGCAGATCCTTGCAAGGCCGACCCCGAACCTCACGACAACCTGAGCAAGCACCTCAGAAAAGCCCAGGTTTAACAATGAATCCCAAATAAGCAACAGAGAAGCTGGTTGCGCTCTAACAAGAAATAATTGTTTTCTTCATATTACAGATCAAAAATAAATGCATATTTAGTTGAAGAAATGAAACAGAGACCTACAGCACTGAGAGTTCTTTTATTATTTCAGGAAGAGAAACAGCAAAACAGATGTATTACGAAAGCTATTTCAGCTACATCTTTGGTATCATACAGTTAAACCGTTCCAGAGACTATGAATAAGAAAAATATCTAACGAGCAAAAAAAATTAAAGATTTGCCCTTTAAATAGTGCATAGGCTGCATCTGCTTTTTCATTACATTCCTTACCACCACAGGACACCTGAGCTGATTACTCCTTTAACACTGATCCTCAGCCCCAGAGTGCAAAGTCAGACTCTTATTCCCATTCTTGCCATAGCACTTGTCCAGTTATTATCCAAAAAACCCCTGTCTAGTCAGGATGCTTAGCAACCCTTGGAACAGGCTGTCAAAAGACTCCGCTCAGCTCTAGGGAACGTGTCAACTCCCTCTCAGCTCTAGGGAACCCATCCATTAAATGGATGAGTCTGGAAGAAGGAGGAAAAAAAAGCAAAAACAAAAAAAACCCCACACCACCAAAAGTGGGATGGGAGGAAAAAGGGGGATGGGAGGTGAAGATGTGCTCCAGCCTCATCAGGAACAAAGTTAACTTCTTCCTTTCCTACGAGGTGTCAGTACCAGACCTGCTGCCTGGTGGCCACAAGAAGTGAAGCGCGGCAGGGCTGCAAGGACAGATGAAGCATTCATTGAGCAAGTGTGGCATTTCTTGTGCCAGCAAGAAGTTGGAGGCCTCGGCCCTCAGGTGCAGGGGGCAAGAGAGCCGCTGTAAGTGGCAGTTACTGCATGTACATCCAAGTGGCTCTGTAATTCTATTCAAGCCTGAGAGGAAGGCCACAGAAATGAATTCAAGGCACAGCTGAAAGTGGCAATTAGTGCAAAAAGGGTAAGAAGAAGTTACTGTGTAATGGTGGCTTTTCTGCTGCAACATCTCCTTTTTAAGGAGAGCAAAATCTGCCACAGAACAAAATGCTGGAAGTTTTGTTGTGGCGGATGAAGAAGAGGAAGGGATGATCAGCAGTGAATTCTGGAACGATCATTGCACAGCGCAGAACCATCACTGCTGCCGTGGCAGCTGCAGCTTCAGTGCCTTCTTCATTGACTTCCACAAAGGCCTTGTGAACTACTTCAGAGAGCACCAGCTCGTTGCCAGCCGAGATTCCCGAGAAGTCTGCCTTGCTCAAGTCAAACGCGTCAGGCATTCCCATGCTGCTCAGAAGGGGTTTCAGGTCATAATCTTCTTCCAGTTTAAATCTGGGTAAAGACACCTTCACCTCTGTAGAGTCCATCATCTCAGGATTGATCCAATCTATCAGCTTCTCATACGTAAGTTCTCTTTCCAGCTAAAGAAAAACCCCAGTTACACAATCAAAATGATCAGAATGTCAGTTTTACCCAGCCAAAAGTGGCTATTCCTGTGTTTGTTTATGCAGTACATCATATGCGTCTTAGCAGGTCTCAAGCCAAAAGTGCAAGTTATGCTTCTCCCCAGAGACTACAGCCCCAGCTGAGATCAAACCCATATACTTTTTGGTAGGTATAATAAGAAACAGTCCCTTCCATGTAAAGTTTACTTTTATGAAACATGTCAGATTAGGTTTGGGTGTGGGTTTTTTTTTTTTTGATGGTTTTACATATGGGAAGCAAAGGCACAGAAGAACCGATGACAAGGCCCCAAAAGGAACTGAACTCAGTTCTTCTGCCTCTTAACCACAGGATCCTCCTTCAGGTTGACAGGCTGATAAAACTCTGCTTGCAATGCCCTTTGCAGTCAGCATCAGAAAGCCTTATTAATAAATTCCTTATCCAGAACATGAAATAGCCAAAACTCATCTCATATCTCGACAACTGAAGAGATCCCCCACTTCCCTGTGAGGCTGTGTCTCTGGCCCACCACCTGGAAAATCTGCCACCTGTTCAGAACGGAAGATCTACAGGACAAGCTATAGGACTTCCCAAGAGCTCCCCCCCCAGTCCCCTCTCACCACATATGATGCTCACCATACTACACCTTCACCATAGCCACAACTAAACTCTGCTCCCAAGGAGGGTCAGGCCTTCTTCCAGAGCCTCTGGCTAAGGGGGCAGCACACAGCTTGACCAGCAGAGATAAAAGGCACGCCCATCACTTTGGGGGCATGGAGGTGTGGGACATTTCAGCTGGTGGTGAGCAGCAGTGATGCAACAGCTTTGGAATTGAACTGAGATCTATATGCAACATCAAACTCTCTTCCCCAGAAGGATACAGACTGTCTTTGCATTTAGCTCAACAACTTACCCTTTCCAAGCCAGTGGATCCATCCTGGATTGCATCAGGAAGCAGGATGATCATGCTGAGTTCGTTACCGACATAAGGGAGCTCAAGGATTTTGGTCTGGAAGTCTCCAATATAGGTCATGTTAAATGTATCCTTCTTGATCATCATCTGCACAGGTTTGGTCTCTTTCTAAAAATAAAGAGATGTCAACAATCAGTACTGAGCTAGTATGCTGGTCTCAAAATATGAAGCAGGCATCCAGTTACTCAGGGCTTTTGAGAATTTGAGTAAAGAGAACTAAACACACCACAGAGTACAGCCCCACCGTCTTTTGTAAAGCAAGAGATAAGAAGTAAGGAAGCCCGAGATTTAATTTTTAAGTACTAATGTGGAAATGTCTGTGAAGTCTCCTATAAGGCAAAGAGACAAGGACACACAAATTTGCTCACTTAAGAACTAGTGACAAGCACTAAACAGAGCTGGTAAGAAGCAGGGCCTGTCCCCCTTGCTTTAAAGAATACAGAATCATTTCAATGCAGGTTTTTTCATTTTTAGTCCATGTGGTTCCAAGTGTGTTATAACAAAGAGGAATTAAAATATTTTAAAGTTTTACTTTCTTGGAATTTTTAGTATAAGTGTTATTTTGAATTCCTAAAGGTCACGTGGATAGTAAGGAGGGAAAAAAATTTTTTTTTTTTTCTTCTCAATTTCATTCTCTGCTACCTTCTTCCATCTTCACATGGAGCACCAGCTACCATTGTTTTCCTCCCTTACAGCTAAGAGTCTCATTGCTTTGTCCCTTACCTTCATGAGATAACCAGGCAAGTAGGTTTTGGGTTATTTTTTTAATAAAGCCCATTGAAAGAATGCCCACAGGAAATATGGCAGAAATTATTTTGCAGCAGCAATGACATGTGAAAAGGATGGATAAGCAAAGAAAAGGCCACAGAGCATGTGAAAATCATCCAGCGAGTCATAAGAAGTGCAAGGGTCACAGAAATAACATCACAGGATGCAGGCTCCTGGGATGTTAAGCTAAATCTTTTGCTACTGGACAGATTGTAAAATAACTAGCTTAAAACTTCAGGTTACACCTGTAATTTCCAAGTGCTCATTTGAGCCCTCTCAGGCTTCTGCAGCTCAGCAGTAGCTAGTCATTAGTAGGATGAAAATACAAAACTTGAGCCATTTAGTTTTACAAGGAAAGAGATGTGCAATTGTTTACATATCTAAAACAGAGTTCCTTAGGTGAGACAAGGCAGCATTCCTCAACCTTACATCTTACAACTTCCTTCAATAGTTACCTGGATCCCAAAGACTCTGATCTTAAAATAATAATAACAACTGAAGACAACTTACATTCAGAAGTTTCTGCACATGTTGAAGTGCTCTTTTCTGCCTACAAGCTAAAGGAACATTTTTCTTATCCACATCAGTTTTATGCTAAAACAATCAAGTTCACTGACTCCTGTAAAATTGTTCGTGACTCTCAAATAGCCGGACAGCCTCACTCAACTGTTTTCTTCTAGTAATTATGTGAAACCGAACAGAAACTAAGCAAAGAGAGCATTCACATTAAAGGGAGGGTGTACAAGGAATTTCATACAGCTTACCGAAGGTAAACCTGCTTGAATGATTTTCTTTTTTTTCTCCCTTCAGAGTTAAATGACAACAGTGTGTTGTCAGCATCTGAGCACATCATACCTTGTTAATGTGAAATGGCATTTCTGCTGTTCTCTCTTTGTTGAACTGCTTTTCCCAGTTGCCTTTGAAATAGATGGCATTCACCAACACGAGTTTGGTCGTTGAATCGAGAATCCCCTCCACCAACAGGTTCTGAATTTTAGCTTTATGACACATAGAAAAAAAAACCTCCAATTTTTAAACAGTTTGACATGTATGTAAGTATTATCTAATATAGTATCTACTCTGTAATTAATACACAATAAATAAAATAATTATGTACCAAACAGAGCAAGAGCTCAATGTTTGAGGTTTTTTAACTTGCAGTATTCCATCTTGAAATAGCTGTTTACCCAAGCCCTGGCTGCTATTAAACACAACAGGGCATTCTGCAAAACACTCACCTTCAGTCCTTTCCTCTACCCAGGCATTTATTTGTTTTCGGGAATCCTCCCAAGCATGCATGAAGTCAGTCTGTTCTAGTCCAGCATGGTAGAATTTCTGACTCGACTCTATAAATGACTAACATGGACATTCAGAACAGCTTTTCAGCAATATATTTTACTCTAATTCAGCCACAAATGATTCTTAAATACACCGAGAAAATCTGCCCGCTCTCCTCCCCCAACTTCATATAGAGCAGTTGAAGTTTTGTCTGGCATGTTCCTATTAGGTTTTATACCACCCATTTGAACTAGGAATTGTCCACTGTATATTATGAAGTCAAATGGCTTGCTTACTACGCTAGAAAGTTCTACATAACTGAGAAACGATGTGACTAATTTGAGGGGTTTTCTGCTTCAGCAAGAGAACATCCAATCTTGTAAGCTCCTCTCTACATAAATTCCATTGTCAAACCTCCCAGACTAACAGAAAACTTTTATTTCAGAGGGAAACCTGATTTTTCTTAGAGAGGAAAACACATACCTTTTCTCTGATTTAATCTAGTTAGATCTTTATTACACAGATGCAAAGTTTTAGAGTACAACCCATGTAATTTTTGTCTACTAGACAAATACAACACTCACATTCTTCATGAATTTTCATCTTCTGGCTTCTAGGGAAGCATCTAAAGGAACATGTTTAACACACTACCTATTATCCTTATTTAGATCTTCTGCTAAGGAAAATCTCAAAAGTCATGTACTCCTCTCAGTATATTCTCTGAATGACTTGCATAACAGGAAAACTACAAAATACTGCCCATGCTGAAGAGCAATAACAATTCTTTTTTTAATCACATTTACACACCATCAAGGGAAAAGAGATACATCAACCATTTGTCCCACAGCCAAAAATACAAATGGATCATGGAAGATTTAGAGTCTGATGGATTTTATAGTGCTTTGCACCATTTGTGCCTTCAGATCACAGGCTACCTAAAAGGAGCTTCTTCACGAAGTTCAGATACCAGGCTTTGGCACAACCTATCACATGGTAGGTCTCAGCCTAGAAAATGGGAAGTAAAACCCAAAGCCTGCCTTTGATCTCCAAAGGAAATAGGCAGCAAGTATATTATACTAAAAACCACTACAAATGTAATTGTTACTTACTGAAAGAAACTCAAATGTCTTTTCTCCATAAAGTCGATTAGCAGTTCTCAGTATATATTGGGCACTTGGATCGTTAATTTCAGAGAGAAGTGATTGATACCCGTTGTGAGCATCATCAGCTTTGTTCAGAGAAAGCACCTGTAGAGAGACACACATCCTCATCAGAGTCCATGCCTTCTCTAAACACACTTGCTTCAGCACAAGTTTTTGGTTTTCTTGAATGACTTTTGGGTTTAAAAATCTGTGACTTGAAGCCAAAAGATTTTTCATCACACCTCCCATGTGGAGCTTATCATGCCAGTCACATAGGATGCACCCAGCCAGATGCTGTACAAGTAATAAATCAGGGTGCAGATGAGTCAGCAGTTATTTAGTTTCCTTTACTCAAGCATTAGAGGATCACACAATGGTTGAGCTTGCAAGCGACCTCTGGAAGTCATCTGGTTCAACCCCACTGCCCAAGCAGGGCCATCTCCAGCTGGTAGCCCAGGACCACGTGCAGGTGGATTTTGAATATCTCCAAGTATGGCATAATATAATGTAAGTTTGGAGAAACTTTTATAGATGTAAATGAAAACAAGATATTTATTTATACTCCTCTTCCACTTTAAAAGAAGAGGCAAACATAAATGTATAATCAGTCATTTCTGTTATTAATACTGTAAACTGCATACCTAAAAATATGCCAAATGATATTTACCACCTGAGCAAGTTTAAAAAAAAAAATTAAACCAAGGTACAGCTACCATTTTGATATCCATACAGGATGGATTTTTAATTTTTTTATGTGCCTGGCCACATATTCAAAACATGTATAGTCTGATATTAAGCCCAAAGAAGATAGAAGAAAATATTTTATGTACCTAGAAATTCATTAAACCTACAAACAAAATCCTAGGTACCTCTTAACGATATACTGAAGGAAGAGCTCCGTCTCAAAAAACCAAAACCACAAGAAAACCCACCCAACAAAAACCAGGAACCTTTTAATTTCATACCAATGGAAACTCCCCCTATAAAAACAGGTAGTGCTTCCCTACATACCAAAGAAAGACCTCTGCTCTCTGAGACCAGAATGACAATAGTAGTTTAACATACGTGTAGGTCACAGACTGATTTGTTATTCACATGGTCCCAAATTCAATACATGAAGTTTATTTAGACATACCTTTGCTATTTGGGCTTCTGTGTTACCTTTCGAACCCAGCAAAACCATAGACAAAGCAGAAGAAATACTAAAAGGAGAAAAGAATAGATTCTGGCTGCTTTTGTTCTCACACAGCTTTCTTAAGAGGTCGAGTGCAAAAGTGGTATTTGCTGCACAGAGGCTATCCATTGTTCACAGACTAGGAGATAAAACACAAAACAAGAATGGCTCAGATATATTTGAATGCAAACTAAAAAGTGATTTCTGTCTTTCACATTTCCCAGTATGAACTATGCAGCAAGCATCATAATTAGGCTGGAAAATTATCAATTCACTGAAAAACTGATCTGGTGGAACAAGCATCTTAAATCACATACTAGGCGATTGAGTCATTTTAGGGATTTATTGTTTGCTTTTCTATTTCAATCCCATACCTGTAACAGAGACAGCAATTCCCACTGGTGTCATTAAACTCTTCACTGGATAAATAATATTACATCTTTTGAGTTTATTACATACAACAGTATTTTGTTTAGGGTTTATTAAAACAAGTCTCTTGACTTCACAAAGACAATTATTTGCCTCTACAGGAAAACCAGAGCAAAAAGGCATCAGAACGGCAGAATTATAAACTCTTACCTTCTCTAAATTTATGTATCTTCAGTATTACCTTCAGCTTACTTGTATGTGTGTGCACAGCCTGTCTGGTAGCAGAATGGCTTGACTTACAAGACTAAAAGAGAAAAGAAAGAGTTATTTGGTCAACGTAACAGATTACTGTAGTTTCCTGCTGTAGTACAAAAGTTACACTTCAACATGTGTAACTTGATGCCTGTCATACTCTACATACATCACCTGTGTAGGTAGTTAACAAGCCTAAGATTAAACCACACCCCTATAAAAGGAGCAATAAATACTAGAATGGTGAGTAATTACAGATAAGTATCACCAGACATTGTAAGATATCAGCTGGTAGTAAAAGTTTCTGTGGGTTTTTTTTTTTCTCTTAAGGCAGCGCCCAGTGTTGATATGTTGCTACAAAATACAAAACCAACACCCAATTTACGTTACTAATTAATTATCTCAAAAAATAGGTGGAAAGAATGAGTTTCTGTACCCATCATTTTCCACCTAAGAAAATTTCTTGCTAGTAGCTTTGCAATAAACAGTAGTAACTTCTCTCCTGTTTCTCTTCTCCCATAACTGAAAGGGGAGGGGGAGAATGGGCAAACTTAGATGAAAACAATCCTCCAGTTCTGTCTGAAGTGGGTAATTTAACTACATGTACTTTACCGTATAAGTAGGAGGCACTTTGTATTGGTTGCAACAAAGACCAGAATTTTCCTACTGTCCCAATACCTGTCAGATTGCTAGCAAGGTTTTTTGACCTGGGGGTCAAAATGCACAGGAATAGTGACAGCAGCAAGCACCCTTATGTAGAAAGTTTTTGTAGGGCTTCCATGACAGACAACAATTTACAGACAAAAGGACACAACTCACACTATTTGCCTACCTGAAAATCAGTGCATTTAACCAAATTGTAAGTAATATTTCAACAGCTGGGACACAAGTCTAGGAGTTGTACCTCTACAGTTATTGATGCTTTCTCCACAGTTCATGAATAGCAATGTAACTACTGGTACCAAATTTTGTAAAATTGAAAAGGAACATATGGTCCCCCTCTAATTGGAGCAACTCAGTCAAGCTTGCAAGCTTGAAATAATTTTTGACAGGATAGCCTTAGAAGTTGCTATATGTAATTAGACAGAAGTGTATCCTTGAATAGAATAGATAGAAGAGTGCTAAGACATTGTATCCTTGAGTAGGACAGACAGAGGAGTTGTGCTAGAAGAAATTAGTTTTGTATCAGTAATAAATATGTAAATAGGCCAGTGATGGACTGAGCATGCCCCAAGACTGAGTTCAACAAGTGGACACAGTGAGGAAGACTATCAATGACCACCAGAGGACCTTGGAAGACAACCAGTGGACATAAATGCAGATGCTTCGAGGACATTTGCATATATTAATGAGTTCCAGGAATAGTATGAGTATGATAATTATCTCCTAGAAGTTTAATGAGTATGTAAATTTTGATTGCACATAACCCTCTGTAGTTGAATAATTCAGGGTACACACTAGGTGGAGCAATCCCCTGTGTGCCTGGCACCATAATAAAGAATGCCTGCTTTCTAAAAGTCTAAACTGAGTCTTAGAGAGTTTTCTCAACCGGCTTTTAGAGTATCAATACCCTTCTCATCAGAGCTGTTTTGGAGACAATACAGAATGACTGCACTTGAAGGAACAAAACCGGTATCATACAAGCACGTATTTGTCAGCTGACTGTAAACCATTTCCCGCAAAACCCTTAGTGATCAGAGGGTTTGCCCACAGTAACTCATTCCTCACCCTAGTCTCCCCGTGGGCTCTGCAGGTCAGTGGTGAGGCACTCATGCAGAGGTTTCTGGATGCCCTGGACCCCGTGTCTTCCTACCACTGTGAGTGTGAAGCTTATATTCTCAGTGGTAAACATTTTAGGACTTTAGGACAGCCTTCAGGGACAGAATGGCCAGATCTAGATTAAACAGCAGATACACTCTGCAGCGTCTCTCCCAACTACCGGTTTTGCCATGGAAGAACCTGGCCAGAGCAGGGTGCAGCTGTCCTCCAGCCTGTGGCCCACGAGATACATCCCACCAGGTCTACGACATGGATTAGCACCTGGCATATTTGGATGCCTCCCCTCCTCACCTCAAGGGAGTCACAAGCCGACTGTTTCAGACGCAGCCGGAGGGGGAACTCAGGGTGATGAATATCAGGCAGTGTCCGCCTCCACAGAGGAAGCTGCATCTCCAGCACAGACATCCCTTTTCCCATCCCCTGAACCAAGGCATGCTTTCTTGAGGGCATCATTTAGGATTTGGAGAGTTGGGAGTGATGTTAAAACGCTCGCAGCTTAAGATCCCCCGCAGCTCCGGGTCAAGGCTCCCCGCCTCGCACCTCTCCGGGGGCAGGGGGGACGACGGAGCTCTGCGACCGCCCACCGCCACCGGCCCTCGGCCCCATGTGCCCCAGAAGGAGCGGGGAGGGGCGGGGAGGAGCCCCCAAGCCCTGGCGCTGCCCCAGGAGGCTCAGACACCAGAAGCCGAGGGTTCGGCACTTGCGAGGGCATGGGCTGGGGGACAGGAAAGGAGCGAAAAGACCCGCCCCCACGCTGGACTTCCCGCCGCGAAACACGTCCCAGCTCGACATTTCCGCGGTGCCCCCGCCACTCCTACACGTGAAAAGCATTTCCTACGCACCGCTGCGACCCCAGCTGACAAGAAGCAGAAACCACGTCACGAAAGAAAAAAAAAAAAAAACAAAACCCAACAATAATAAAAGCACCACCACACAGCCTCTGCTGCTTAAAAAACAAAACAAACAAACAAAAAAACCCCAACACAACAAAACAACACACAAGCGCAGGCTTCCCGTAGAAAACGACATCCGAAGGACGGAGGAGCCGCCACCGCACTCACCCTACCGGCCGCCCCCTCCCCTTCCGCGCTGTGCCTGGTCTTGAATAGGCACTAGTGTCCGCCCTGCCTCGCCTGCCGAGGCTGCACATTCCTGGCACCCTCGCCCCGCTCCTTGCTGAGCTGGGCTTTGGGGCTGGTTCCCCCAAGTCACGGTGTTGTCGTCGTCGTCCCCGTCCCCCCCCCCTCCTCCTCCGCGGGCCTCGTCTCGCTACAGCTGGTGATTTTCTAGCTCAGCCTCCCTCTCGTGGCAGGGCTGACAGAAAACACCATCAGTTCATAAGGGGCTATTATTTTTATTAATTATTTTTGTAGCAGGGGTTGTTCTTAACGACAGTGAGGTGTTGCTGTAGCTGGAGACTGTACGGGCTTGGCCCCTCCTTGCATACCTGAGGGTCTGAGTGAGGCAAATAGCCCTCCCAGAGGTATATTTTCCGATTTATTTTTTTTTTTAAGGTATCAGTTGAGAGACACATGAAGGTAACTGAGGTGAAATTGGGAGCTGATGAAGACTTACAGCTGGGATGTGGAAGGAAGGCAAAGGAATGGCCACAGGCCTTGCATAGGGAAGGTCTGCCTCCATTTGTAATGCAAGGACCTAATCAAGGGTGAAACAGAAGCAGGGTCTAACTGCTGCGGGTGGGAGTAAGGGCTAAGACCGCATCTGAATCAGGGGCTCTAGTCACGAGGGTGAGGAGGTGACCCGTGTTAGTATACACTTGTACACACCGATGTGCGGGTGAAGGGGTAGAAATGCCATAGCTAATAGTGGTTAGGGGACAGAGCTACCCTTGGTGGCCTGGTCTGAATGGCAACCAGGATTGCTCTGGATGCAAGGCATCAAGTGCTCCCTGCTGCCATGGTTGTCCCTTTGGGGTAGGAGAGAAGCAGAGGAGGAGCTGTGCCTCAGGGTCCTGGGGTGTGTGGTGTGGTGGAGAAAGGGTTCAGGTCTTACTCCCCCCCAGCTGCAGCAGGAGTTTCAGGTTTTGGTATTTGCATCTGAGCTGGCAGGCGAGCGTCTCCTACTCTGCAGGGCAAGGAGGAGCTCTGACTAGGGTGAGGAGAGTCTGCCAAAGAAGAGGATGGTTTGTGATTTGTTGTGTCTGATGAAGAAGAGAAAAGGGTGGTCAGCTTTGAAAGTAATTGGTCGTGGTTTTGATCTCAGCAGCAGGACAGCTGTGGCAGCTGCTGCCTCAGTACCTTCTTCATTGACTTCCACAAAGGCTTTGTGAATAACTTCTGAGATGAAAAGATCCTTCTTCACTGACATCCCTGTGAAATCAGCCTGAACTGGGTCAAAAGCATTTCGTATCCCCATGCTGCTCAAAGTGGATTTAAGGCTGTAATTCTCTTCTAGCTTCAACTTGGGCAGGAACAGATCCACTTCAGCTCTCATCATATTGGCTGATTCTGTCCATTCAGACAATTTCTCATAGGTCAGCTCTCTTTCCACCTGCAGTGAGTTGAGGAAGAAAATAGTGGGAATGCAAAGGACAGAGACAAGACATGCACACACCGGTGTCTTAACGCTCATCAAGAACATGTAAATCAAAGCCCAGCTACCAGCAGTGGATACAGCTGGAATGTGTGCTATATTCACAGAGCATGATCCTGCAAAGTGCTGAGTGACTTACACTCCTATTTATTTTCTTAAAGGTGGCCGAGGTATAGGCCTGAACCCTCAGAGTAGTTGATTTTTATTTTTTTTTCCTGCTGTGAAGAATATTGCTTTTTTGCAATGTGAGAGACCCAGTGATATTGATAGGTGCTTGCTATGTGTGTATATGGATAACTTTTCTCTTAGTAACGGTAAATAAGTGGAACGCATGGGACCTCAGGTACAAATACAAAGATGTTTGCCCTGAGCTGTTTAGAATCTGAAACTGATCCTGGCATGGTCATGAGCGGCTATTGATAGCTTCTGGGTCAGGGTAGTCAGTTTGAGAAACCTCACCACAAAAATATCAGATGCAAATTCAAACTGTGAATGATGTAAAAATTAATTAATACATCCCTCAGGAGAACATAACTGTAGGGCACAGTGATTCAGATTTGGTCCTTGCTTTCCTATTGCTATTCTGTCAATAGAAAAGAGGACACAAAGTAGGCTAAGGCAGTTGTGTGGACATAGTTTTTAGATATATCCCTAAGTAAAATACTATGTTTGCAATGTTACCGGATGCCCTGAACCCTAAGATGAGAAACCATGGTGTTACAGTTTATGAAACAAAGTATGCAGACATCAGAACCTATTCTACCACGATTTTGAAGCTCATTCTTCCCCACTCTTTTCATCTGTTTCTGTTAGTGTCTTGTAGTGTATGTAATGCAACAGTAGGTCAGTGTTACCAGCTCCAGACCAGTAGTGTTATCACTGATGTCATCTGGTAGGAGAACGAACATGCTGAGTTCATTTTCCACATATGGCAGCTCAATGATTTTGAATTTCATGTTTTTTTCATGCAGTATCAAAAAATTATGTCTCAGATACATCATCTGCACTGGTTTAGTCTTGGTCTGTGAAAAAATTCAGACATAAAAAATAGTGTTACTTCATTCCTTAAAATGGGTGATGAAAATTACATGCTTCATTGAACTGAAGGTAAAAATTTGTAAACAAGTACAAGGCTCAGCAGCATTTGGATACTTGGAGTACCCTTTCCTTTGGACAATATCACACACACCCCCTTTTCAGAGTCTTTGGGATCTTTACAAAAAATCGGCATGGACACATATGGTACCTACCTGCTAACTAAATCACATGTAATGTATTTTTCATTTTCAAAGAAAGGAGTTAGCTTTGGTAAGCAAGTAATTACTATAAGTGTTTCATGTTTTCTCCCCCATACTACATTTTTGGAGTGAGAACCTTGATCAGGGGGAAGAAACGTTGACTTTCTTCCCCTGGAGGTCATCAACTCTTTTGCCTGTTTTATACTTCCAGGCAATACTGATTGTCTCACTTTGCCTCTGAACCATGTTTTTTGTGACCTGTGCTGGTTTTTACTCTTCCCAAAACCATAGAGGACTGTATTACCAAATGAAATTGGATTACACAGTAGCCTTCTGAACTCCTATGCTGTATTATGTTCGTGGAGCTTTTACTAATATATCCACTCTCTCCTTTACATTTGAGTTCCATTTGAGTGCAAAAGTTATCTGTTTGCAGACTTTGTATTGGGTACCCTGTGAATAAACCCTCTCTGTGAACCAATATGTTGGGTTTAACGTGGTGAGGTTTTGGTAGCAGGTTGGCTGCAGGGATGGCTTCTGTGAGGAGACCTCAGAAGCTGCGTCCGTGTCAGACAGAGCCAGTTCCAGCCAGCTCGAAGATGGACCCCACCGCTGGACAAAGCTGAGCCAGTCAGTGATGTTGGTTAGCGCCTCTGTGGTAACATATTGAAGAAAGAGTAAAAAACTGCTGCACAACAGCAGCTGGGAGAGAGGAGTGAGAATATGTGAGAGAAAACAGCCCTGAAGACACCAAGGTCAGAGAAGAAGAGCAGGGAGGAGGTGCTCCAGGCGCTGGAGCAGAGATTCCCCTCCAGCCCGTGGTAAAGACCGTGGTTGTGCAGATATCCACCCTGCAGCCCGTGGAGGATGCCATGCTGGAACACGTGGATGTGCCCTGAAGCTGCAACCCATGGAGAGCCCATGCCAGAGCAGGCTCCTGGCAGGACCTGTTGGACCCATGGAGAGAGGAGCCTGCACTGGACCAGGTTTGCTGGCAGAGCTTATGACCCTGCGGGGGACCCACACTAGAGCAGTCTGCTCCTGAAGGACTGCACCCCATGGGAAGGACCCACACTGGAGCAGTTTGTGAAGAACTGCAGCCTGTGGGAAGGACCCACATTGGACATGAAGGACTGTATCCTGTGGGTGGGACTCCACCATGGAGCAGGGGAAAAATGTGAGGAGGAAGGAGCAGCAGAGACAAAGCATTGTGAACTGACCACAACCTCCATTCCCTGTCCTCCTCTGCTGCTTTGGGCAATAGGTAGAAGAGTTGGGAGTGAAGTTGAGCCTGGGAAGAAGGGAGGTGTGGGGGAAAGGTGTTTTATATTTGGTCTTATTTCTCATTACCCTACTCTGATTAATTGGCAATAAATTAAATTAATTTCCCTAAGTCAAGCCTGTTTTACCCATGACAGGAACTGGCAGCTCCCTGTCCTTATCTTGACCCATGAGCTTTTCATCCTATTTTTCTCCCCCTGTCCTGTTGAGATGGAGTGCTTGGTGGGCACCTGGCGGCCAGCCAAGGTCAGCCCAGGACAACCGTGTACCTTGACAGATCCTAAAACCGCACATGTAGCGTAGTAGGTTTCAGGTACACAGTCACACCATTGACACAATCACTTCACGTTGCCTGGCATACAAAAGGTATTTGCACTAGTAATCTACGTCAAACAACATACGTGCAACCACTGACGAATAATTTTGCTTGACTTTGACACAGTCCAAAAATATGCATGCAGTCAGCTACTGTCAGTGCATGATCGTTTCAATGCTGTTAGCCCCTCAGTGTATACATCATCCTTGCTCACTCAGCTAAAATGACAAACCCCCATGAAAACTCCCTCTGGGGTTTTATGCAGCACCCAGGGTGTGTGAGGAAAGAATAGTTTCCTTGAACTGAGGGCATAGACTGTGTCTCAAAAGCAGAAGAGAGACCTACCTGTGTACACATTGCTCTCAAAAGCAGCTCCGTCCCTTTTGAAAATAGGAGCTTGTACTTAACGGGAATTTCCTCTTGTCTTTAAGCTACTTAACCGTGGTGTTCTCAAGTGTTTTGATATTGAAGAGCTATTAATGAAAGTGAAAATCATATTCTCACGGATATGCGTAAATAAGACACTGCTGACTTGTTTTCGCAATTGCGTTCTCACTGATTTTATACCATGTGCCCAGCTACGAGTAGTGTTGTGGTAGCATACAAAATGCAAGTAAAATATTGAGAGGTTTCATGCTCTTCAGTAATAGACATATTGACATATGACAATAGGCATATAGACAAGGAATTTACCTTGCTCAATCTGAAGGGCATCTCAGAAGTATTTTTCTCCAGAAATTTCTTTTCCCAGTTTCCTTTGAAATAAATTGCATTTACTAAGACCAATACAGTGTGAGAATTGAGAGATCCTGCAGGCAGCAGATCCTGGATTTTCCCTTGAAAACCAGACAAATAGGACTGTTACTCCAGTGTGTAACTTGCCAATTTTAATTGTGCTTTCTTTGTGCCTACCTATCCAGCAAAAATGTTTGCATTTGGGAAATTTTTTTTTAATGTACATTTTTCATGGTATACATATGGTAAAAATGGCTTTTGAAGTATCTCTCTGTGGTTTTTTTAAATGTATTTATTGCAGTTTTGGTAGTGAGTGGTGTCCTGGTTCTGGATGGGACAGAGTTAATTTTCTTCCTAGTAGCTGGCATAGTGCTGTGTTTTGGATTTAGTATGAGAAGAATATTGATAACACCCTGATGTTTTAGTTGTTTTTAAGTAGTGCTTAGACTAGTCAAGGGCTTTTCAGCTTCCCAAGCTATGCCAGGTGCACAAGAAGCTGGGAGGGGGCACAGCTGGGATAGCTGACCCCAACTGGCCAAAGGGCTGTTCCAGACCATATGATGTCATGCTCAGCATCTAAAGCGGGGGGAAGAAGAAGGAAGGAGGGGACGTTTGGAGCGATGGCATTTGTCTTCCCAAGTACCCATTACGTGTGATGGAGCCCTGCTCTCCTGGAGATGGTTGAGCACCTGCCTGCCCATGGGAAGTGGGGAATGATTCCGATTCTCTCCCCCATCCCATTGTGGGGGGAGTGAGCGAGCGGCTGGGTGGTGCTCAGTTGCCAGCCGGGGTTAAACCACGGCAAATGGCATTGGAAAGTGGGTAAAGTGGAGTAGCTTGGATGTCCTGGAAAATGGTTGCAAGCAGATGAAGAATGGAGAAATAAACCCCTCACTAATCAGATTGGAGCCACTCCATTATCTACCCGTGCCTCCCTCTGGGCAGAACTAATTCAGAAGAGGCTATGGCATGAAGAATTAAGGGAAGGACCTTGGAAGGAGCAGCGGTGAGGTTTGGGGAGAGGCATTCTTCAAGCCATTTAACTGCACTTTGCTCATCACCTCCCCTGAGTTTCCATTTATGGATCCTTGTCTGCAAGAGCAATAAATGTGGAAATACAAATGGTTTGAAAGCAAGACATGAAAAAAAACCACATCGGAGTGGTACTTACCCTCAGTTTCATTTGCAACCCATGAATTGATCAGTGTTCTGGCTTGTTCTGCAGCTGTCTTAAAGTTTACAGCTTGTGGCTTTGCATTGTAATATTTTGTAATGAGCTTTAAGAATTTCTGAAAGATAGAATTGGAAAATATATGCTTATTTAGTTAAATTTAAGTTACAAAAATGGTAGAAATAATCACTTCAACAGATTATACAATCTGCTACTACATAATTGAAGGAAATATAATTTGTTTGAAATGGGATAACCCCTAAAATAAGGTCTGATACATTCTATGCTAAACATTAAGTAAGGACTCATCAAACTTCTGTCTCAAGGAAACTGATACTTCAAGTTTTTGTGTTTGACATCCAAAGTGCAAATGTGTAGTTTTGAAATATCCCATGAAACAAACATTCTTCACGTTTTTTTTTTAATTTCTCAAAATGACATATCATTTAAATACTTTTTTCCTGCCTTACGATGTAGAGTTCAGTACAAGAGGGAAGAATTGTCTCATATAAAGTTGAAACAAGGCTTTTAGTTTGCTTCAGAGGCTCGGAACTGGCCAAGAGTTTGTGAGGACAACAGAGGATCAGGTATAAAGGGAATGTTCTGGTAGAATAAAGTCATGGCAGAAAAGCAGAATTAAGATTTGCATTGCTGTCTGCTGTGAAACAGTTCATGGAAATTCCCAGCAGGAAATTCTCTAGATTCTCTGTGAAGCATAGGTACATGAGATTATGGAGGAAATGAGCAATAAGCATTCAGAAGAGCAAATTACTAATTACTCAGGAGATCAAAACAAACTCCAAGATCAAAGAACAGTAATCTCATTTAAAACCACCTTCCAAGAAACTGTAAGATGATTAACATGACGTCAGTTTTTAAAAAGATTTCAAAGATACGGGTAACTACAAACTCATCCGTCTGTATGGGGCGAATGAAAAGAACAGGTCTAGCGGGTGTATGGATAAACCTGACGTACTGGAGGAGTGTCAACAGCGTTTTGTGATAGGAAGTCCCAAATAAAAAATCTGTTGGAGTTTTTTGAAGGTGTCAGGAAGCATGTGAGTAGGAAGGTTGAGCCATTACGGTCTGTTTGGATTACCAAAAGGCATTTCGCAAGACTTCTCACCAAAGGCTGAGCGTCCGTGGGACTATGGAGATTGGTTTTGTTTGTTTAAATGGCTGGAAACCAGGAATAGGAGGAAATGATGTTCACAGTGAAGGGTTATTACTACTGGACTACCACAGGGATATGTCCTGGGATCTGTGCTAAAATATTTATTCTATAAAATACGGGTTTAAATACTTACATTAAAATATATACATGAAAACATTTGTAAATGATCCAGTGAATGCTACAGAGAGGGATTATAACTGTTCAGGAGTGAGGTGTTGAAGCTATAATGGACAGCTGCATGAAAAAAATCTTCCCAATAGCAGCCAAAAAGGCAAATACAATTTTAAGAGTTACAAAGAAAGGAGTAGGGACCAAACGAGAGAATATTAGACTGCCACTGTATATAGCTATGGTGTGCCCGTTGTCTGAGTTCTCATGCAGCTCTGGCCTCCCTAGTCTCAGAAATGCTAGAGCATAAAAGATACAGAGACAGGGGACGAGGATGACCAGAGATATGGAGAAGCATCCTTTAGAGGAAAAAATGAACCAATAATGATGCCAACAGGTAGCAGGCTCAAAAACCACAGGGGCTTCCTACAGTGTATAGTTCAGCTGTGGATCTCCCAGTGCTGAGGGTTGTGGTAGATTCAAAAGGCAAGTCTGCATGTTCATGAAAGAACGTCTCATCAAGGTCTGTTAAGCAGACATGCCCCCTGGTTCAGGAAGTCCCTGAGCTGCAGAGGGCTTGGTGACCAGAGCAGATTCTGGAGAAGCATTGCTACACAGCATGACCTGTTCCCATACACTTCCTAAACTGTTCACCACTGTGGGAGACAAACGGACCTCTTGTCTGTGGAAGGATAGCCCCATATGGCTGTTCTCATGTTCTTGCTGAAACCACAGTGCTATCATTTGGAAAATTTTTATCATCTCTGTTGACAATCCCTCTTAATGTCAAAATATTCTTAAGTAAAAATGTTCAACTCACGGGCAGTAATGGGTAGGTCTTTTCCTCATACAGTTGGTTGGCACTCTTCAGCAAGTAGGTGCTTCTGGGTTTGTTGATGGCAGACAGGAGCTCTTTGAAACCAGAGTGGGTGTCTTTAGCTTGCTTGTGCTCAGGATCCTTGGAAAGAGACACCAATTAATATGGAATATTTTTTTTCTGTCTGAAGTATTGCACCTGCTGTGGCTGTTTAAAATGCCCAGGTTGTTTTAAGTAAAAAGGAATTTCAAGGGATGGAGCTCTTTTTTGCGTGTGTTGTGTGTTTGCAGCACTATGTACAACCAGACAAATTGTCTTCTGTCTGTAGGGTGATGATCTGTTGCTGCAGTGCTGTGTAGGCCTTTAGGGACATCAGCTGATGGTGCACCCAGGAAGTTGAATCTCCTCATTTCAGTCATGGTCAGGCCTAATTTTCACTGTCACAGGGACCCATCAAGGCAGCCTTGCAGCTTTTGAGGAGGTGCTCTGTTCTGACAGATACTAATGTCAGGGCATGGGCTTACCAACTATTCAGATTTTCTTTTTTTCATGCGAATTTTGCTGTTGCTCTTTGGATTTTGGAAAGAGGTTGTCCTGGGTGTCAATGTTGATGGTTTTAGGGAGCATGAGCTTGGTTTTAGGGAGCATGAGCTTGCTTGCCAGCTGTTCCCAGCTGTTGCTTCGCTAATGGAGGAATAAGCTGCTACCCATCAAGCTGCTCCCCTCCAACCTGCTTGGGTGCAGTCTTCTCCTCTGTGGCACATTCCATGCCCTGCACGTGAGCCACTGAGAGTCTGTGCCACTGACTCATGTTGACTTGTCATAAGGTTAGTCAGATGGCATTCCTTGCTCTGGTCTTTTCTCATTCATGCTGAGACATGGGCTGCGAGGAAGGACACCTGGGAAAGCATTTGGTAGCCAGAGGACACAGCATAGGAGAGGTCGGGTTTTGCAAGGGGATGGGAAAAGTCTGAAGAGGTAATGGAGGGAAATGCCTGAAGGACCAGATTAGGCAGACTTGGCTACAACTCAGAAAGTCAGTGAGTTGCTAACATGAACGTGCATGTAATGATTCACCGTGAAGATTCATCTCCTGCCACTGAGGGAGAGAATTGATATAACCTCCTCCACCCTTTTATTTCCAGTTTGTCTAATCTAGTTTCTTTGAGCTTTGTTTTAGTTTCTATGCTAAAGAAACATGGCTTGTTTTGAGTTTACAAGCCTTTCGGTGCTTAGGGAGTTCATCTGATGAAAAAGGTCTGGGCAGTTCCTCCTGGTGGCAGGTCTCTGGGGAGTTGAAGAAAAAGGGTGAATCAGCATGCGTTAGCTTAAAGGGGAATTTTGTTTGCCTGGTGTGTCTATGCATGAAAAAGGTGAAAGGGAGTTTATTGGGCAGGGCTGGAGTCGGGTGTGAATGCAGTAGTTGTTTTTCACTACAGAAAAAAAAGCCCTGAAGCTGATAAGAGACAGTATTGTCCTAAGCAGTTGGTTTCTTGATATTGCGGTAGACCAGCTAAAACCAAGTAACACAGTATTAGGGCCAGTCAAAATGCTGTTAGTGTCTCAGTTCTGCTTTTGAAGGCCTGAATTAGTGAGTTTTATGGTAACATTATCTGCTTATTTGCTTTTTCTATATGTAGTTCTTACTGAAGTGGGACAGCAGCTGTAGACTGACGATAAGTGAATGTTAGAAGGCTAAAGCAGTAGTTGTGATGAACTACCCCTTTCTCAGAGATTTTTTTTCTCTGAGTTTTCTGTTGTAATAAATACCATCTTTCTTTTCTTTGCTCTCCCCGGAGAAGGCTTTTTTGCCTCAGATGAACCTTCTTCTCCTGTAGTCCGGTTAAAATGAAGAACCTGTGATGAAGATAAATTTCATAAAAACATGTTGTTTTTTGAAGATAAATGTGCCCAAGGGTTATGTAATTGCCTTCATTTTCTATGGTAATTCATCAGTCATGCCCAATGGCTGTTAGTCTATTGAAAGTTAGCCAAGGACAGGATCTTACTCTTGATTTAGTCTCTATAACAGTATCACTGTAATATAGATTTTAGTCACATTTACTGCTTAAGAATAGATTAATATTATGGCTCAAATATGAATTTATTTAGATAAATGATCAGTTCATGCTTGGCTACATGGAATTTATTTTCAGATCATGACCAAGCATAGTGCACTTCAGAGTCTTACTAGTGGGGCAAAAATGTAAAGTTATAAATTTAATGTGTTTACATAAATGCATATAACTAAAACACTACAAGACTGAAAAGTTCTGCTCAAGTGGGCATAAGTGAAATCATATTTTCAGTACAGGAACCACCTGTAAGATAATACACTGCTAATTTCAGAGCTTACCTCATCCATCTGGGTTGCAGTGTCACCTTCTGCACCCAGGTAGACCATGGCGAGAGCAGTTGCAATACTCCAAGGAGAAAAGAAAATGTTCTGGCCTTTGGAAGTTTCATTCAGCTTTTTGTAAAGGTCCAGCGTGAAGCTGTTGGTTGACACCGAGAGCAGCTCCATTGATACAGCCTGAGACAAACGAGTGCCAGAGGTGATGACTCTTTCTTCACTTCTTTTAAAAAATACGAAGCTGCTAGTGGGAGATTGCCTCCACCCTCTCAGATACAGTGTAAGGGTGTCCCTGTAATGGTGAAAATACTGCACAGAGACCCAGTACAGTCAGCTAGTAGGTCTCTTTTTAAGGTCTGCATTATGCCTCCCTTCCCCATCACTCCTCAATGTCCTCAGCTTTTTTATTGATTCTTCATCAGATGAGCATGATTTTAGCTAGAAATGTTTTCACAGGCCACACTTGTTTCAAAACCCCATTTGCTTAAGTTTCATAGAGTTATTTGATTCTGAGGGAGTGAAACAGAACCATTTATCACTGTCCTGCTTTGAGCTTTTTTCTATTTCTTTAAACTTCCTCTGCTATTATTTTCTGCTGAAAAAAGCATGGTGAATTCAAGCAATTCAATACATGTATCTTGAAGGCTACTAGAGATCTGTAGATTTTTATATGTTCTTGGTGTAGGTAACCTCACATTTGGAAGCTGTAGCTGGATTTGTTAATTACTGTTTTCAAGTAAACTCTCGTTTCTTACATACAACCCCAAATAGTTCGTGTTTTAAACAACAACAAATTTTCCCTGGTTTTCTGCTGGCTTATCGGAGCCTGCGGATTTTCCATCCTGCTTATTTTTCCAAGTATGTTTTTGCAGGACAAAACCAAAACAAAGAAAAAACCCAACCCCAGGATTAAATGGATTTTCCATACATGGATCCAGAACAAACCTGTGCTTCTATTAGCATATTTTAGATCAATCGAATACTGTTGGCAAATATTAGGATAAATTCAGAATTTTCCATTGTCTTCACCAGTATAGGGACTACTAAAACATGTACTAAAGTCAATGTACGATGGCATCAGGTGAAAGGTTAAGCATTAAATTAACAAAAGCAGCAAGACATTTAAATTGGTCTTCACCCACAATTTACAGGCTTAAATCACAACCAGCCAGCTGCCATGCAGTGTTAAGAGATACCTCTGGGATCCTCGAATTTTGATTTCAAAGCTTTCCAGGGCTCCACAACTGCTTTGAAGCATTTTCAGGAGTGCGTCAGTGGTGAGTGCCCTGCAGCCTAGCTCATTCCTAAGCATTTTTAGGACCTTCAAATCAGTTATCTCTTACTGCTCTATAGGTTTTGCCCAACCTGGGCTTGCGTTCTGACCACTGTGACTGGGCACAGGGTTTTCCTAAGGGCTACACTTTGTATTAGAAAATGAGCACTCCCTTCCCCTGCGTGACTTTTACACCATCATTTAACCACTCAGTTCCAAAGAATTGAACATGAATTTTTAAGACTTCCAAAGTAAAGGTAGTTATTCTGATATGAATATTTACACTACCTGAAATCCTGAGGGAGAAGAGAGTTAAGATCTGTCTTCAGCAAGGATCTGTGGCAGCCTGTGAGGCAATGAATACTTTTAGAAATGTAGATATGTTTGCACCTCCCCTTTCTTATCTACATCCTCTTTTTGTATTAATGTGTTCCCTCATTTATTCCTACTTCTCCTCTCTATAATCTGCTTTTCAGAACTTAGAGCGAGACCTCCACAAGTCAAGGCCGCTGTTAGTGGGTGTATGTCCTGAAACGTGAAGGCCACTATGGCTTTCTCCCACAGGTGTCCTCCATGACCTTAGTGTTCGGCATGCAAAAATGTAGGAACTGCAGAAAAGAATTCAGCCACCCTGTGCTAGCAAGGGATGTGTTGAAATAATTTTACAGCTTCCTTTTCTTTTTACTTTACAAATTGGGGAAACTAATAGAAACTAGTCTCAAAGATAGGGCTAAAAGAGAATATCAAAATAGGCTGTGGTTAAATTTGGGAGGGGAAAGATTTGAGTACTTGTAGCCCTCAGGTCACATAAAGCCCTTATTTTGTGATATTTTACATTTTTGCTTTTCTGTTTCAGAAAGCAGATCACAAAGGAAGCTCAGAAGGTATTTACACCTAAAATAAGTGATGAAATAAGAATGAACACTCATTTGAACTGGATGTTGTTTTTAGAGACTGCTGCTCCTAGCAGAGGAGGTGAAGGTGCTTTTGATACCTGCAGGCCCTGCACTGTACCGAGCTTATTATTCCTCTGTGATGGATTGAGGGAGTTTGGATCATCCACTGAAAGCTGCAAAACTGCTCGGAAGCTCTGCTTGTAATGATTTCTTTTATGGAACTTTTTGTTGTATTGGAGTAGAGAACCAAAACAGCAGAATATGCATCACTGGCTATCAGCAAAGGTGCAGTACAAAACAGGTCTACACAAATGTTTTCCTTTAAATCAGTGTAACTGGCAATTCTGCTGGTTTACTCTGCTTTTATCTGTCTGACTTAGATTAAACTGTATCGCTCAATTTCCTTTGCAATCATTATATGTCTTTTCTGCTACATTTATGGTTAGTTATGAATAGCCTCTGCCCACTAGTATGCAGAGTAAACCAATTACCAGGATGCAGTCAACCAACACAGAAAAAGCATCAGTATAAAGAGTACAAGTCCATATTTTGGACTAGAATTACATTTTTTGTGGTTATATTCACTTCAAATCTGACTGGTACATATGCCATACAAGGTTTCAAGAGAGATATATACGCCTCTCTTTTTTCATGCATTTTGTTTTTAAGTGCATGCAGGTTTTGTGCCCGGAATATCCATTTTATTTTCTTGCTTCAGAAATGTACTAGGCACTATTAAGTTTAGTTATGTGCTTAAGAAATGTTTCTGCTGTGTATATGAAACTGCTGTTGCCTATTTTTTAGCTAAATGAATAGGAGAAGAAAAAAACACAAACAAAATTTAGTGGTACTACAAGCTACAAAGATTGGCCAAAAATACAGGAAAATGACGAAAGGGTACCCAAAACTGTGTAGACACTCTTTGTGGTACACTCCAGCTGCTGCAAGATCCTGTTTAGTAAGAAAGAGTGAGTTTCAAAGGGGAGCAAATTGGCCAAAGAAGAGGTGCTCTTGGTTTTGCTGTGCCAGGTGGAAATAGTGAGACGAAATAGGGAATTGCTGCAACCAGAATGGTAGGAACAAGGTTTCACTGACTTACTGACCTCAAGTAGATTGACCTCTGACAAATGGTCATAAAAAGTCTTTTGATAAAACCAGTCATTTTCCTTTGGCATACTGATGAAGTAATTTTGGCCTTTTCTGGGCTCTTCAGTATAAGTAAGATACAGTTTTCCATACCTTCCCCCTGACCAGGGCCACAAAGATGATTAAGGGAGTGGAGCTTCTTTCATATGAGGACAGGCTGAGAGAGTTGAGACTTACAGCCTAGAGAAAAGAAAGCTCAGGGGGATCTTATCTATGTGCATAAATACCTTATGGGATGTAATGAAGAAGGAACCAGACTGTTCTCAGTAGTGCCCAGTGAGAGCACAAGAGGCAATGGGTACATATTAAAAACATGAAATTCAGTCTGAACACAAGAAAACACCTTTTTACTGTGAGGATGGTCAAACACTGGCACAGGTTGCCTGGAGAGGTTGTGTAGTCTCCATTGGTGGAGACAGATATTCAAAACCCAACGGGACATGGTCCTCTGCAACCTGCACTAGCTGACCCCGCTTGCGCAGGGGGTTGGACCAGATGATCTCAAGTGGTCACTTCTAGCCTGAACGACTCTGTGATTCCGTAAGGGTTAGCCTGACTTGAGAGCCAGACACTGGTTACCATGCAAATAGTATAGGGAGGCACAAAGGAAGCAGCTTCCAGTGTTGCTCACTGTAGCTGAGCTCTAAAGAGTGCTTCCCCCTGGATGGGTTCCTTTCCTTCTCTTTCACCCTTTTCACCTGCATCCCAAGTATGTCTTGTACTGGAAGGTGTGCTCTTTGGCATCACTTCCCAAGGAAAGCTGAGGCTGGCAGTAGCTTGGTACCAAAACCAGCCTGTTTGACCCATTGCATCTCTCACCAGCTGGCAGACACCGCTTCGCAGAGCCCTGCAACGTGGTATGAGTGAGGGGATGCACAAAAATTAGCATGGGAAGACCTCTCATTTGGTTTGGGATGGAACTCTTCCCACCTTTTTGTGCAACTTTTGCTCTTACATGAAGTGGCTCTTCAAAGTGGGTATACACAATTTAGGACTTCCCAGTAGTTACTGATTGTAGAATACACACAGCAGAGAGATAGGATTAACATGCTACAAGGCTAAGAATTAACCACCCTGACAAGTCTGCTGGCCAGGCATCACTCAAACGGAGGAGGGCTGGCCTTTGTTGCTCCCTAGAAGAGGCTCAGCCTCAGTGTTGCTAGGTGTTGTCTTCCAATTCTTCATTTTTTTAAAAATTGAGATTTTATACCTCCTCATGCAAGTGTTTCACCTCCTGAAACCTTGATATGCTGACTATTCTATCCTGACAATAACTTCTCCATTTGTGTTTTCACTTTTCTTATTTTGCATGGCCTTCTCTTGTG